GCCCCTCCAAGTCGTGTGGTAATGCTCCATTGTTCAGCATTACGACCTCGCGCTACGTCGTTGTCCACGTTGTTGGAGCCGTATATCCGGTTCTGGCATTGGAGGGGCCTGATGTGACCGACAATGACAGGCCAGGCTACCAGCAGATGCCCACAGATGGCCACATCAAGTCCAAAAGCTGTGAACCGTTCAGAAACCGAGAATCGCCAACCATGCATCAAGTTGCAGAGAAGCCCATATTGGGATCCTCCCGATGATGACCCCGACGTGCCCGACTAAAGGCTGGGATCCGCAACTAAAGCTGGGTACGAGTCCAACTGCAGGTGAGCATGGTGTGTTGGCAGGCTAACGAGTAAAAGGAAGAAAAATTTTCAGTCAATATGGAATGGGCTGAGTGAGACGGTACAGATTGGGACCTTGCAGGCTTGCAGAAGCTGAGTGAGCGAGTGTGTGAGCAGGCTGGTGTTGGTGTTCCCCCAGCTTGCCCAGGCCAACCAGCCATAAAGAAGATCCACGGCAGCTGCCCGTTGTGCGCTGGTGATTGATTAATGATGTGCTTGCAGTGCTTGCAAAAGAACAGGGGAAGACCCAGAGGTAGATCAGCGACCAGTACCTGGGATGTAACCGGCTGTTGGCCGGGTGGATGAAGTTCGAGAAATCCCCCTGGTCATAAGCTGTGTGCCCTTGCCGATATGTCATTCAACTATCCGAGCGTGGTTCGCGGGGCCAGGACAGGCTTAGCGGGAGGGGCCGGGGTGCTTTGGGGCTTGGGCATTGTGACCAAGAGGCACGCCAACGAACCCTCACGTCGCAAGTATCTTTTCGGATTGTATTGTTGCCCCGCGTAGTGCCCAACGAGATGAAAATGGGGGAGGTTGACAGAAATCGAAATACGGCCTTGGAGGCTGGGGAACAGTTGTCGTCCTCCTTGTCTCAAATGTTGTCCTTGTGAATGACTGCTGTTGCCGATCAAGGGAGAGCAAGTGACACCGCAACTAGCAGTGCAAGCGCCAGGCTGGTGGTATCTTCGTTCCTCTGGTCGGGTTGGGCGCCGCTGGCACTTTCGGAAGCGCCCGTCGCTGGTCGACTCCGAGGATCTGGTAACCAGCGATGGAAGCTCCGAGCACCGGCGTCAGCAACAAGTTGACCGCCTCGGGACTTACACGTCCCGTTCGACTGGATTGACTCTTGCGGTTTCTTTTGGTTCCGAGAGGCATAGCGCCCACGCCAATTGTCTCTCCTTCGCAACGCTCCGCAGCGTACTCTCTCTCGACACTAGCTGTCATTCAACAATCAAGGAGCAACAAGTTGAAGGCTTTGGGACATGACCCAGGATGGCAAATGTGCTCCAATGTTCTTCATGCCGTCAGCAATTGATCCTACTCCCCGCACACCAACCTCTCTAGTGGGCTTCTGGTCGGATGATTTCTTTGCCTTGGGGGAAAGTGCCCGCCAGCACTAGTCGGAATATTGAAGTCATCTTCGGTTGGACAAGTCCACAAAGTGGAATTGATCGAGTAAAGTGACGCAGCCTCGTGGGATCGGGTTTCTCGTATTACCAAAAGACGGAGGAGGACAAGTCATGAGACCGAAGCGGTGCTATGATGGCTTCGGCCAATGGCGTCCCGGGCGTCATACAAACAGCAAGATGCACCTCGTCTTCTCTGCATTACTGGCACAACTTGGCACCAACTTGGCAGGGCTGCGGCTCCAATACCCGTGCTCGATGCGCGCTGTCGCGCTATAGTTCTAAAAATTGTATTGCATCTCGCATTTGCTGTGCAGATGGCGCCAGTGTAGAGGCCTTGGTTTCCCAGCTTGTGGTTCGCCAACTCACAACGAAGGCACGAAGTCCCACCAATCATGCCGTTGTCGAGGACACACACTGCGAGAAGAGGCAAATCCAGGTGCTTAGGTCATTCGAAAGACGCCTTCAGGCCGCAGAGAACTAGTTTGTCAGTGCAATTCGTGCACTAGGAGCCTGGCGGTGCGCCTCGCCTGGAAGTGTCGCGTCTCTGGTGTCTGAGAAAGGTCGGCAAATGCTACATCATTATGGTGAGAAGGCGGAAACCGTTACTGATGTCGCCTGTCGAGCTCGCTGTCGCCGTCACCGCCGTCCTTCGCCGGCCAAGCTCGACGGAACATCGTTTTCTCGGTATTCGAGCCCCTGTAGAGAAAAATTGCGGCAGCTGAAACCAGCTGAACGGGATTTGATGCTATTCCGGTGGATGCGGGGTTCCGCGCCGTCGAGTCAACTTCTTCCCGTATTGCTCTACCACTTTGAGCTTCATCGTTGCTTGTTTCGATGAAGCGTCATGCCACGACATCTTCTCGAGCCAGACGCTGGCCCAAGAAGCAGCAAGAAATAACGGTGCGCAGGGCTAGGCAGAACCGCTGTGGCTTGACACGAGATGACGGGATGATGTGCTCAATAGGGGCCGCGTACGTACAACGAATGTCCCCTGTGGCGTCGCGCCAGTCGTGCCGGGCTCGGGACCGATGAGATGAACGAGATCTTGGCAGCCGTTTTGTCGTTCGTCATCTCAAGGGCCGTGGAAGGGACGAAAAGAGCAGCGGAAGGCGTCTGAGAAACAGCCGGCGGTTGGCGCCGTTCTCCACCACGTGTATGCCGCCCAGTGCAAGGGGCAGGTTGTGGCTTAGCAGTTTGGATCGGTATGGCTAATGGTGGACGATGGTAGCGCAGACGGGGGGATCGTGGAGGACGGACCGGAAAGCCATTGATGGACTCGCACCCAAAAGAACGAAAGCTGGGGTGGTGGGTGATTGAAGCGACAGGGGGGGCTGGTGGTGGAGGGGCGTGAAGTATTCGTAAATTGAGGGGGGAGGTGTGGTTGTTGAGCGGAAGAAGTGGAAGAAGGAAAAGAAGCAAAGACGGGGCAGAAGAACCCCGCCTTGATGCATGCAATGCAATACCACCCACCTCACCCGCCATTCGAGTACGGATACAGTACAATGCAATTAACAGGCCTCGCCAGCGCACAGACTGAGACTTGCATTGAGCGGGGGTGGGGTCGCCGGTCGACCGGGGCCTCGGTGTCCGCTCGTCGTGTTGCATATGCATGACATGTGCATATGCATCGTTTTTTTTGGGCTGTGGCCGCGCGGGGAGGAAAGCAGAGCAGAGCAGAGCAGAGCAAACAAAGCAAAGCAAAGCTGGCCAAGCATCGATGCGTCGAAAAGCGTCCTTCCAGTCTTCCATCGTCTCGTTCCTCTCGCCAATCATCCCATCACAACCCCCTTTTCGGTGGACTTCTTTCCTTCTGCTGCGCTTCGACACAAAACGTCGCCCCATTCCGACTTCGTGAATTCCTCCGCCAAGACAATAGCTTCCGCGACCTCGAGAGATGCATACGCATACGCATTACCCAGAATCGTCCTGGATGCTCAGCCAGACAGGGCAGCAGGGCATGCCATGGCACGGACAAAGTGCCAAAGACTCTCTCGCTCGTTCACTCCCAGTCTTCTCCTCGATGTATCTCGTACCTCGCAAGCCAGGCCATCCTGGCCCCCCACTGCCTCCCCCCTTCACCTCATGCACCCCTGCCGATACTTCGCAAGCTTTTCGTCGAAGAACCCTTTCCAACGCCTCCCAAGACTTCACGGTGATTGAGTGAAAATTTCGGGCTCATGGACGCGCAGTTTAGGCCGGTCAGAATGTTGTGATCGTCGGTTCCAAGGCCGGTGGCCAAGCAAGTACCCCCCTCGGCCTTGAGATGCGAAGGTAACCCTAGGGTAGCTTCACGTCTCTGTCGATTCATCTCGATCCAGCACCCTGGCCGCCGCTTACGACCTCGAATATGGCCTGCAGCGGATATCATGTTCGAGCTCCGCGCGAGCCTTTCAGAGTTCCAAGAAGAAACACGCCTCCAGTCAGCCAGGCAACGCAACCTTTTCCCAATGGACCAGGAAAAAGTCCTCAGCAAGAACGACAAGGGCGTCTCTGCATGACATCAAGCGTCGGAGGGGACCTCGGCGAAAGTACGATGAACAAGCAGGGGAGATGAGTGTCTTTGCCTGCTTCCTGCATCCGGGCTTGCCAGCTTGGCGATCCCGCGCTGGGTGAAGGCTGCTGCTGCTGCTGCCGTTGCTGGTTGGGGAGCACCACCTTCTGATGTTGTTCTGCATTCCGGCCGGTGCGAGAGATTTTGCCATTCTCGTTGTGCTGATGCCATACGGAGTTATTGCGCTACTTCTTCCTTCTCCGTGCAGCGTCGTCTTGCCGAAGCGCGCCTGTGGTGAGCTTGGTGGTTGTGGTTGCGCTTCGGAGGTGGGCCTCCTCGCCCTTCAGCCACCTTCAGGCCGCTTGCCATGAACTGTTTTTGGACACACTATTGCTGATGGTCGTCTGTTCGATTCCAAGTCTGGTCTGTCCGGGAGCTAGCCTGGACCTGAAACTATGATCTCGTCTTTTCTTCCCGACTTTGATCTGCCCACGGCCCCGTCGCCATCCAGACGCGTGCCGCCGGCTTGGAGCCTCAGTCGCAGAGTTACTACCACCACCACCATTATGGCGTCCATGCTTTGGATGCTGCTGCTGTTTCCGCCGTTTGGTGGTGCAAACGTGGATCCCGATTAGGCCCGGCGACACCCAGGTTGATGCCATGTCCATGTCTCAATCATTGCTTTCCGCAGACAGGTGGCATGAAGAGGCTGCCGCCAGTCCAAAGTCTGGGCAACCTCGAGCCGCTGACGCCAGGGACAGCCCGAAGGTGAGTGGGCTGTCTCCTCCTGCTGCTTTCCCATCATGTGTGTCAGTGCCTTAGTTGGCAAACTCTTTTTAACTCCCGTCCTCGTTCCTTCGACTGAACTCTCTTCCTTCCCGTCGCCGCGCTCCTCTTCCTCTTTAAGCCCTCAAGCCAACTTGGCAGTGGAGTTGACTTTTAAGATATCATAGATATCTTTCTCGTGTAGCTCTTCGTCGACACTCGTTCTTCTCCGCAACTACCCATCGTTCGTTTGATACCCCCCTCGCCGTCGCAATGGACTCTCAACTTCTTACACCCGATACTCCGGAGCGGTCTCCGACTTGCCGCGAAGCTTTCCCCTTCAACTCTCCAGAATCCTCCAAGGACCGAGCCGAGCCTTGGGAGTTCTCTCACGATGGCTACTACCCCATCACTCCTCCCACGGAGGAGTGCGAATCAGACGAGGAACTCGCAACTATTGCCAGCTCCATTGACCTCGAGGCGGAACCACTGGTTGCCGTCATTGGGGTAGGATACGTTGGAGAGCACCTCGTGGGCAACTTTGCCCGCAAGTTCAACGTCCTCGGTTTCGATGTCTCTGAGGCGCGAGTCCAGAGCCTCGAGAGAGAATTCGGCCCAGACAGTAAGGCCAAGTTCACCAGCAAACCCAGCGATATGGGAGCGGCTACACACTTCCTCATCTCAGTGCCCACGCTTCTGCGCCCAGACCAGACCGTTGACACTTCCTTCCTGCGGTCCGCGCTCAAGAATGTTGCAACATACGCCCGCGCTGGCTCCGTAGTGGTCGTCGAGTCATCCGTCGCTGTTGGCATGACCAGAGAGCTGCTCGGCCCTCTTGCCCAGGAACGCCACTTCTTCGCTGGCATGTCTCCTGAGCGTGTCGACCCCGGCCGTGTTGAGCCTCCTGCTCACGCTATCCCCAAGATCGTGTCCGGTCTGGACGATATGGTCCCCGGTTCGCTGAACGCCATCGTCCGCCTCTACTCGCAGGTTTTCGACAACGTCGTTCCTGTGTCGAGACCTGAGGTCGCCGAGATGACCAAGTTGTATGAGAACTGCCAGCGTATGATGTGCATTGCTTTCGCCAATGAGATGGCTGATGCCTGTCTTGGACACGGAGTCGACCCATATGAAGTCTCTGGTGCTGCTGCGACCAAGCCATTTGGATACATGCCCTTCACACCTAGTCTGGGTGTTGGCGGCCACTGCATCCCCGTCAACCCGTACTACCTTCTCTCCAACAACCAGTTCCCTCTCCTTCAACACGCAACGGAAAGAATGCGCGCGCGTCCGTCGGCCATCGCTCAGCGCGCTGTTGATGCGCTGTGCGCAGAAAAGCCGCGGCCGAGCGTCCTCGTCGTAGGCATGGGCTTCAAGAAGGGCCAGTCCCACCTGGCAAACTCTCCTGGGCTCGAGCTTGCAAAGAGCCTCGTATTGTCTGAGAAGGTCGATGTTTGCTGGGCCGATCCCCTCGTCAAGCAGGAGGCGGTACCACAGATCCCCCGCCTGAATGATGTCGAGGGCTGGAATGTTAAGTCGTTGGAAGAGCGATTCGACATGATCATCGTTGCGTTCAGACAGAGTGGGCTTGATTTCGATGTCCTGAGCCAACTGCAGAGCACGCGTGTTGAGATGTGGTGCAACTAAGGTCCGGAAGGCCAAGGGTTGCGGCTGCGCTGGGCTGTAGGTGGCGTTCTCCTCAGTTCGTCATCGTCGCCCAATCCCACCATTCCCTCTGTAATGCTTTCACGAATATTTCTTTTTTTTTCCTCCTTTTCCTCCAATCACCGGGGTTTCCCATGAAGTCTGGCGCTGTTGTTTGCTAGGAGATGTATATTGGAGCAAACGGCGGCTCGGACGCAACACACGGATAACGATGGATGTAATACCTCGGGGTTTTCCTTGCTTGTCGTTTCCTTTCTTCTCTCATCGGCCGGTGTCAAAGGTATGTTTGGTAGAAAAAAGGCCGATTAATGCGCCGAGACGCGATCGAACTGGATGAGCATTGACGGCCGAAGATAGATGTGCGATACATATTTGCGGGAAACTGTTCCTAATTTCAATTCATAAGTCAACTTCCTCAGTTCCACCTCGTCGTGATTGTCGCCATCTCTCGATTTCAAATTGCGGGCAAGCATCGTCCGTCAGCATCGAACCCACTATCGTTGGAAATTGCCGGGTGAGTCTGTGACCGTCGGGCCCCTTCATGTCTTGTGCGTGGCGCCAACCGCTCCTCTCGGTGCTGTAATTTTTGGATACCCCATATCAATCTTGAATGTCGGTCTGTCGCAAGCAAGCAAGCACATCGCGTTCGTCCGGGCAAGCCTCCATTTAAACCTCCAGTCGACAGTAATCCCAATGGGTCGTCGGGAAACACGGCACATCCCCCATGTCCTCCGCTTCTCAAATCAACTAGTTCTCACGACCATTTGGCGGATACGATGTCTGACCGTCGCAATTCGGTGCCGAGCTGCCGGATGCCCCGTTCTGGCGAGGCGTTCGAGAAGGTGGTCAGAAGGAAGTCCAGTGCGGCGGCCGAGAAGCGCGGGCGCTACTAGACTATAATAAACCCAAGCTGCCATTCCCTATCAATCCCCCCATCTCATCGACAACGATAATGCAAGTCGCCTGGGAGGATTATTAGTTTATCAAGATCCTCCGTTGAGCGCGCAGTATCTTCCCGGCCCATATCGCGTTGCATTATCTATTGATCTGCGCGGCATCGGCACCGGGCCGGGGTGTTGTTGGCCCAGCCTTGCCGTTTCGAGTCGACCAGATAAGAAGGTTGCTTTTTGGTTCCCTTTTCGGCGCGACGGCAAACCAAAACTCAATGGTTCTTCTGTGATAGATGCAAGTGATGATGCCGATGCAAGAGGAAGAACGGGATGATACGAGGAAATGATACCGAATGTTCGAATGGAGAAGCTGAGCAGGGCGAAGATGGTGTGAAGAGCGGTGAGGGAAATTCTCGGTTGAGAAGCATACCTAGCAAGTTAGCTCGATGGTTCAGACGAAGGGCAATGATTGACGAGGTTAAGCGAAGAAGGTTGGCGGATGGTGTGGTCGGGAACGGTCCCGTGGTTTCCCCCCTCATTCCTGTTTGGGATCTGGGTTGCTTTGATTGTTCTTTTGGGAGTGCGTTTGTGACCAGATTGAGCAGCGATCTCGACGTCCTCGGTGATCTGTACTTGGCATGTGCCGTGGGCAGCGTACCCGAAGTCGCGGTGCCGCGGACCGCGGGCTTCAAATAGTCTTCTCATAATGATGGAGGGGGCGACGATCCAGCTGATCAAAATACAAACGCACATCTCACTGCATGCCAGCCTCTAAAATCATCGCGCTAGAGCTGTTGTCAACGAGAAAAAGTCCATATGTCGTGGACTCTCCATCAGTAAGGTGGTTGGACCGCAGCGGACCAGAGGCGACCGTAGTAGGAATTAGGCATAAACTTACTTATGTACCGGCAAGACGGCTCGCACGGAGCCCGGGGATGTCGTCTTCGGCGTGTTCAAGTCCATGACAGCTAGATGCTTGCCGATCATGCTGCGCCATCGCTGCGAGGGTCGGACCGGTGGTTTGCGGAGGGCGCGCACTCCGTCCGGGGATGTTTGTGTAATTCTGGGTCAGTGCCCATCATTAGAGACATTTCCCGGTACTTGCTTCCAGCCTTGCTTTTGTAAATTTCCAAGCATTTGGTCTTTCAGCAAAAGACTTTTGATAAGGAATCAAAGAGATGATGTAGAACTCGCGATTTGAAGCTCGGGAGCTGATGCTTTCAGCATATCATCCGTGAAGGAAGCAGACAGGATACTGTTGGTTTTTTGAGATGAATATTCTTTACCAAGTAATCCGAGTAATCATCTATGCTCTTCGGGCTTGACATAGCCTCCGTCTGACCACATCACCACCAACTTAGTCTAGATGCCAAGTAGTTGATAGCCAGTCGGTGAAAGAGCGCAGGCCCAGATCTCAGTGTCAGCCATGCCTTTACTTCATGTTGCGTCATTTCTCTTGCTAATAGAGTGTGGGCATTTCGGTCTCAGCTTCTTGATTCCAGGCTCTGATGCTCCCACGTGTCAGTGTCTTGGACAGTAAGCCACACATTGAGGGTCTTTTTGGCCGTGGCTGTGAGAGTATCTTACAAGCAGGACGTCTAGACCCCTCGTCGTCATCTCGCACGATTCTTGGGATCCTAAGCAAAGCCATGGTCTCACAAGCATGCTTGGCCCCTTCAACGTTGCCCAATAAGACGACAACCATGGCCACGACTCGCGAGCCAAGGCTCGGCTTGGCATATGGAGGCGCACTTGACGAAGTTCTTTGATTCCCCATTCGTAGCCTGCTATCTGCTCTAAGAGGGGGCTTGCTCGAAGAGGGGGTTTGCTCGAAGAGGGTTTGTTGCAGAGGAATCTAAGCCAGATTAGAACCTGCTGGCCTCTCCTCGACTGCATACCATTTCTTTCGAAGTCTGAAAAACATATGACATGAATGGACATGAGTGAGATGGGAAGATGTTGTTATGAGTCAAGGAGCAATCCGCTCGAGGAGCGTTCTTTTGGGTATCTATAGTATAAGAAGCCCTCCAACTCTCCAAGTGCCTTCCTGAATCTGAAATCACGGCCAAACGCCCTCTCAATCAAGTGTCGCACCTTAGCTGAACCCGTCAGAGACAGTTGACTAAGACTCAAGCAACGATGATGGTTCCCGGAAGACCTCCACCCATAGATCCATCCTGGCCAGGGCCATCATCCTCGTCATCAGGTGTCTGGCGATAGCCAGGGCCCTTCGGGTGGTCGTCGGCCATATCCTCCTCTTCGAACTCGGACTCGGACTCGGAGGAGACGAAGAGCTCACTTTTCTCGATGCTCTTCTTATCGGAGCGGTTCTTCTTGGCGGGCGTCTTCATAACTCGGCCGGTAATAGTGCCCTTGGTGCTCTTCTTGCTCGAGATTCCCGGAGCCTTGCGTATCTTGGCGAGCGCTTTGGCCTTAGCCCGCTCCTCGGGGGTCTTCTTCGTACGATTAGCGCTTCTGAACCGGCACTTAATGCAGGTCTTTCGGGAGATAGCGCCCTCAGTATCTGTGAACTGAGTCTTCGGCATACAGCCCCTGTGACTGGAACAGAAGCACTTGTCCTTTGGGTCGTGCAGGCAGGGTCGGGCGAGATCTTTCATCTCATGATTGCCCCTTTTTTTGTAGCTTGAGATGTTGCAGCAAGAGTGGTCTCCCTTGGCGTCATTGGGGAGGAGCTCCTCCTCCTAGGTTGATGTTAGCCTCTTGTATGCATAAATCGAATTGGGGAAGGAGAAGATAGGGTTTTTGTGTTCGTAGGTATGTATACATATTTGTGTTTGTGTTTGTGTGTGTGTGAGGTAAGGGGGGGGTTTCGGCTTACAGAAGACGACTCGCCAGAGTCGGCATGGGGGTCGGAGCCCATTGTAGATATAGGTAGTTGTTTGGGGCTTGGGAGGTTGGTGGTCGAGGGTCGGAGGTCACAGAGGTCGGTGGTCGAGGGTCGCAAGTTGGATGTCTGTTGTGAATTGAGTCTGAAAGAATGTGAAAAGACTTGGTTGGACAATCTGCCAAGAAGACGTCTTCTTATACCTGGTGAAAGAGGTGAGTTCGCGAGAGATCTACTGACATGACTTGGTAAAGCTTGAGATTGCAATGTCATCAAAGCCCCAAAAGGGTTCAAACAGCACGCTGTTCACCCGAGAAGTGAAGATCTAAACCTGGCTCGCGGGATTACTTGCGTATGTAGAGTTTGTCTGGAATATTCCGCTGTGACAAGGCTAGCATAACGCTATAACCCAAAACACTGATTATTCCAGCAGATGAGCGTATACATGGTTATGAATAATTGAATACATCCAAATTTACGCCAATTTTCCATCTCAGACATTTTGAGAACGCATACCACCGCAATTCTCGAATTCATGCTATTCGTCAAGCCCTTCCGAGACTTGCTTCATCGGAGCGAAGGATAGCCTTGAGGCTATGGATTGACCTCCTCTATACAATGCCTCCACTTACACGAAGAAGTAAATGCCGATCGTGGGAAACGCTCACGAGTCACGATATTCAGTCGACATATGTTCTCGTACACAACTTCTCGGAGCAGGATATTCGGCATACACGCGGGCAATTGGGAACGATCGACAACTGACTCCAGAGATGTCTTCTTGCATTCTGTATTGCCATACGCCAGGTCTGGCCACAAATCTCCATCTAAGCCTTAACCGCCTCCCAAAAGACTCGATCGCACTCTGTATGGTATTTCGTTCCGTTAGACTGCAATAAGTTGGCCACCCTTGCCACCACCCATGCCACCACCGGGACCATCGTCGTCAGGGCCGGGGTGGCGGCGGGGGATGTGGACGGTAGGCATGTCGACATCCGTCTCGTACTCGCCATCCTCGTCGTCGCTCTCCTCCGAAGAGGAGACGAACAGCTCGCTCTTCTCCTTCTTGTCTCTCTTGCCCTTCTTGGGGGTGGGGGTAGCGGCGACCTTCGTCTTCTTGGGCGTAACGCTCTTCTCGATTCTGCCGGTCTTGGTGGCCTTGGCCTTCTTGGGAGTTCTGGGGCCGCGGGGCGTGGCCTGGGTAGTGCGCACTAGGTGCGGCTTCTTTTTGGCCTTCTGCTTGGACTTCCAGGACTGCTGGTTATGCTTCTTGCAGACGAGAAAGTCATCCCGTTCGCCGTCCCGAAAATCCGCAGGAGGCGCACAATGCTTTGCTCTGGAGCAATATCTCCAATCCATGAACTCGGGACGACCGTACTGTCCTCCCTCCTTGCAGAGGCGGATAGCATCGTCGGCGTCGTAATTGGCATACGTACAGTCGCCATGCTCGTTCCGAACCTCATTCCCATGCGGGTCATAGACCTTGGCGCGGCGGCGCTATTTGAATCGTCAGTGGGATAGAACCAGGTGGAGATGGCCTGATGGTATCAGGAGAGGGGGGAAAAGGGGTAAAGGAGGACTTGAAAAGAAAGGTCAACGGTATCTCCTTGGTGTCAATCAACGAAGAAAGAACCCCCCGGAATGAATCTTCAGAAAAGAAAAGAAAAGGCTCGACAAAAGTACCTAGGCTTCAAGGGAAACAATGGACACTTACAGCCATGGTGAGAAGGCAGCGTCGAAGTGCTTTGATATGTGTGTTTTTGTAGAAAATACTTCTTTTTGTGAAAGAAGCATTTTTCGAAAAAGTGGTGATCTCGATTAAAAAAAGACAGGCTGACAAAAATTCTGGAAGAAAATGGATTTTATCCTTGGAGGGAGAAGAGTACTCGGGGACCTGGTCAGCTTCCCTAGTCGACAACTCACGATACCCTCAAAGCCCTAGCGGAGACTGCTTAAGAGACCATTCACCCAAAGAGTGAAGGTCCAGATTCAGCTTTGACCCGCTACCCATGTGCCCTCAATGCTCTGGGACGTTGTCTTCTGGTGAGACTGGCGCGGGACCAGCTCCATAACGGAAGAGGTCACTCCACGAAGACTCTCCAAGCCCTGCGGGAGGTTTGGAAGATCAAATGTGGTAAAGGTCCGAAGTTTGGAGTTCATTTCATTCCAATCCCTCGCAAAACCATGAACTAGTGCCTTGGTTGGATACAATGTGTTGGATATGATCAGCGAGACGAAGTTTTGTTTCAAAAGCATCACTTGTACAACTTATATGTACTTGAAGTATCAGAAGTGTGCCTCTACGATAGAAAGTGCAGAGCTTATCTGCCGGAATGATACCATGAGGACTATTTGAAGCTACATGCTCTGCATTCGGCAGCGGTGTCGTATGCTCAAAACAAACAGTACGAGGACCACCTCAAGCCAGGGTAGAGAAATGACTTGAGGATGGAAATAGATAAGACCTCGAGAGAGACAATGATACTCAAGAACTTTTATTACTATTCATCACAGTTGACTAAGAGCATAATTGTACAGCATCATCAGCTGCCAAGCGTATGAGCTACAGCCAGTTGAGACATGAGAAAGTCTGGTGAGGATAGAGAACAGAGAAGAAAGATCGCAGGCGTGGAGAGCCGAAAAGAATTTCAAGCTGCAAACTTTGCTCAAACCATACACCTATACCGCCGGGAGCCCATCTCGCAACGGCTCGGTTTCCACCGTGGTCTCCCTCAGGGAGATGGAAACTATCAAGTTCGCCGCGCCTTTTTCACAGAGCCGATGGTTCACCCAGGTCATACACATTACATAGCATGACTATGCCGAACAAGACATGAGACCGTCGCCATTCAAATCCAAA